ATTTTTATTATTTTTTATTATTATTAAATTTTTATTATTATGGGTTTTTTTATTATTTTATTATTATTTTTATTATTATTATTTTATTATTATTATTTTTGTTATTATTTTTTTATTATTATTAATTTTTTTTTTTTATTATTATTTTATTTTATTTTTTTTATTTTTACTTTTTTTAAATTTTTTTGCCTGTAAAACATTCTGGGGGTTAAATACTACTATTTTTTTTTTTTCTATACTACTACTATTTTCTACTTTTTAATTTCTACTATACTACACTCTACTATATTTTTTTACTACTACTACTACTCTATTTTACTATACTAAACCCCACTATACTTCTACTATTTTTTTACTATACTACACTACTCTACATCTACTATACTACTACTTTACTAAATACTTCTTCTTCTCTTCTCTTTTTCTCCCCTTCTTTTCCCTTCTTCTTCCCCTTTTTTTTCTTCTTCTTCTTTTTATTTTTATTATTTTATTATTTTTATTTTTTATTTTTATTTTTATTTTTTTTATTTTTTTATTTTTATTTTTTATATTTTATTTTATTTTTTTTTTTTTTTTTTTTTTTTTTTTTTTTTTTTTTTTTTTAACCCCCCCTTTTTTCCTTTTGAATTATTGAAAAAAATTAATTTTTGATTGGGAATTTGGGTTTTTTTTTTTTTATAAAATAAATAAAGGGTATTTGTATTATTAATTTGGGTAATTAGAAAATATATTTTTTATTAATTATTTTTTTTTTTTCCCTTTTTTAAAAAATTTTTTTTTTTATTTTTTATTTATGGGGAATGGAAAAATCTTTTTTTAAATGCTGTGTATCAAAAATTTCCGGGGGGAAAACTGTAAATTTTCCCGTTTTAATTATGGAGAAAAAAACTATAAAACGGGTTTTAAATTGCATGATCATAAGAAAAAATATTTGGGTTTTTAAAAAGAAGTTAAACCCCCTTAACGAAAAAAACTGGGGGGAAAAATTCAGGGGGGGGAAAAAAATGGATAAATTAGATAAAATTTGGAAAAAATTTCGTAAAGAATAAGAAGGGGGGGAGGAAAAAGGGAAAGAATTTTTTCAAAAAATTTTTGGGTTTTTGGTTGGATCTGGGTTTAAGGGTTTGGGGCCCGGGGAGAAATCGGGAAGAAGAATTTTTGGGAAAAAGAAGTTGTTGGGGCCTTTAAAACCCAATGAAGATTTAAAAGTTAACTTAAAAAAAGTGGGGAAAAATTTTGGAGGGGTTTGGGAGGTAATTTGGGGTTTCATGGGGTAAATGAAAAAGGGATTTATTGAACTTTGTTAGGGGGTTTTTTTAAGGTTTCTATTTTAAAAAAAGAGGATTGTTAAGTTTTGGGGGGAAAGCGTAGTTTTGGATTTATTTTTAAAAAAAACTTTGAAGGGGTCATGTTTATAGGGGCCCAAAAAATTTCGAAATTTCATTGAGACACGAAAAAAGGTAAAGGGAAAAACAAAGGGAAAAAGAAGCCTAGGGAAAAGATGAAGGTTTTAAAATAAAAGGGACATTGGGAAATATAAAATATTGGGGGAAAGATCTAAAACAACCAAGGGGTTTTAAATATGGGAGGAAAAATGTGTTTTAGAGTGGCGAATTTGGGTTACAGGAAAAGGGTCAGGGGGGGGAAAAAAATTGGTAAAGTTGTAAAAGGGTTTTAAAAAAAAGGTTTAAATTTTTTCAAATAAATGGCGGGGGAAGAGAATTGGGGGAAAAAGGGGAAAATTAAGGGTTAAAAAAAAGTAAAAAGGGGCAAATAAAGGGGTAGATTTTAAAAAATTTTTGTTGAAAATAAGAAAAAGTTTTAGGAAAAAAGTTAAGAAATTTAAAACAAAATTTTCATTTTTAAAAAAAAAAGAATTTAAAAAAAGGAGATATTGGGGGAAAAGGGGAAAGGGAAATTTTGGGGAATGAAATTAAAGAAATAGGGGGCTGTGTTTGATTTTTTAGGGGAAGGGGGAATAAAATTTTGGATGAGGGAAACAGGTTTTATTGGGGGAAAACACATAGGTAAAAGAAAGGGGTTTAAACACCATTAGGGGGGAAATTTAAAAATGGGGAATTTTTTTTGGAAATTTGGGGGGCAATTTTTTAAAAAAATTTGGAAAAGGGTAAGGACCCGGGAAACGAGGGGAAAGTCTTTTTTTTGGGAAAGGGGATAAAAGAGATAAAATTTTAAAGGGGGGGAAAACTTTTTATACTTTAAATTTTTTAAGGGATAATTGAAAGAAAAATTAGGACGGGAAAAGAAACGGAAAAAAGAGGTTTAGGAAAAGGGGGTTTTTGGACAGTGTTTAAGTAACAAAATAAAGTTTTTGAAGGCAAAAGGCTTTTTGGATTTAATTTAAAAAAGGGGTTTGCATGGTAGGGGGCAAAGGCAATTTTAGGAGGGGGTTTGGAGGGGAGGCGAAAGGTGGGTTTTTTTAAAAGGGGGCTCAAAGAGTGTAAAAGAGGGGAATTTTTTTCCCGTAAAAGTGGCCAGACAAGGGGTTTTTTTGCACCCGGGGGTTTTTTTTTTTAGATGGGGTTTTAAAAAAGTAAATGGGGGGCTTGGGAGAGGGTATAAAAATAAAGAAAACACAAATTGGGGGCAAGCGTTTTCCAGTGGCCTTTTGGGGGACAAAAATTCAAAATGGTGGGTAATTTGGTTTGGGTGGAAAAAAAGAAATTTTTAAATGAATAAAAAGGGGAAAATTTTTTGAAAAACAAAAAGATTGGGAAAAATTATTCAATTGGAAATTAGGGGGAACACAAAAATTTAGGGAAAAGGCCCGGGTGGGTTTTGGGGATTCAAAAAGGGGGAATTGAACCATTATTAACAGGAGATTCATATACTGACGATGAACAGGAAATGAATGAAATCCTAAAAGAACAGTATGAGTCTGTGTTCAGCAACCCACTAAATTACAGCAAAGTAGAAAGTAGAAACATTTTTCACTCCAGCAGAAGGCCATGCAGACTGACTAACTGACATCAGAACAAATCCCATAGATTTCAAAAAAGAAATGGATAATATGCCCACTCACTCAGCACCTGGACCAGATTCACAAAATGCCCTATTTATAAAGAAGTACAAAGTACCACTAGTAAGAGCCCTCAGTATTCTCTGGAGAAAGAGCTTAGATCTAGGTGAAATACTGGAGGCCTTAAAGAGTGCAGACATAGCTCCTTTGCATAAGGGAGATAACAGAGCACTAGCTAAATATTACAGGCCAGTAGCCCTAACTTCTCACATCATAAAAATCTTCTTAAGAGAGATGAGATGGCAGATTACAAATTTCATGGACCAGCACAACCAGCATAACTCGAACCAGCATGGGTTTAGAGCAGGACGATCATGCCTGTCACAGCTGCTGAAACGTTATGACAAAATTACGGAGGCATTAGAAGACGACCAAAATGCAGATGTGATTTACACAGGCTTTTCAAAGGCATTTGACAAATGCGATCATGGAGTCATAGCGCACAAAATGAGGGCCATGGGCATTACGGAGAAGGTAGGCAGATGGATTTTTGGGTTCCTAACACACAGAACTCAAAAAGCAGTAGTAAACAGAGCAAGATCCAACATCAGTGAGGTAAAAAGCTTAGTGCCCCAAGACAGTGAACTTTTTACCTTGCTGGCACCTCTGCTGTTTCTCATCCTCATAGCATAGATAAAAACACCCGTCACACTTTTGTATCATCATTTGCAGATGACACTAAAATAAGCATGAAAGTCACTTTGGTAGAAGACACTGAAAAATTACAGGAAGACATAAGCAGGGTTTTCCAGTGGGCAGTGGAGAACAACATGACATTCAATGGTGATAAGTTCTAGCTGCTTAGGTATGGAAAGAATGAAGAACTCAAAAGGAACACTGTATATAAAACTCAAGAGGGTCACCAAATAGAATGAAAGGAACAAGTAAAAGACCTGGGAATAATTATGTCAGTTGACCTTTCTTTTAAAGACCATAACAAAACAAAGATTACAACAGCCAGGAAAATGACAGGGTGGGTATTGAGAACTTTCAAAACAAGGGAAATAATGCCAATGGTGGCACTCTTCAAATCGCTTGTGCTTCCTTATTTAGAATATTTCTCACTGCTGATGGCCCCGTTCAAAGTAGGAGAAACATCAGAGCTGGAACAAATACAGAGATCGTTTATGGCTCACACTGAGTCAGTAAAACACGTAAATTACTGGGAACATCTTCAAGTCTTGAACATGCACTCCTTGGAGCAGAGGAGAGAAAGATACATGATAATATATAACTGGAAAGTACTCGAGGGCATGGTCCCAAATCTGCACACTGCCATAACATACTGGAGTGAGAGATATGGGAAGAAGTGCAGAATAAACCCAGTGAGGCACAGGGATGCAGTAGGGACAATAAGGGAACACTGTATCAACATTTGGGTTCCTAGTCTATGCAATATCTTACCAAAAGATATCAGAAACAAGGCTGGAACAAGTGTAGAAGCCTTCAAGATGGATATGTGGGGCAGCAGGGCTCCAGCAGCAATAGCCTACTTGACCAAGCAAGCACCAGACAAGAGTAGTAAAACTCTCAAAACTCTTCAAAGGTATATCAAAGGTAAAGGTACTGATCTATGGAGGAAAGCTTGGCACTGCTGTTGGAAGCGAACCATATTCAATTAGGGAAAGGATGGGGGTAAGGATCAATATCCAACATCAAGCATACATTTGGAACCAGTAATTCTGTTACTGTATTAGGAACTTAACTGAAATGAAAGACCACTGGGGAGAACCCTACTTACAGACTTTCTACACATGAAGTTGCAAACATTTTCATGTGCCGTGATGAAGGTCCTAAGTATGCATACCTAAGACAATGAACAGTATCGATTCTACCCCATTTACTTGAAAATAAAAGTAGCTTGGCAATAAATTATAAGGGATCAAACCCATGCATACAATGAACTTATTACCTATGTGAATTTATAGTGTCATCAGTAACAAGTATTTTTCCTACTGACAAAGCATAGGAATGATGCACTAACCTCCAAGATTTGTCGTGCATTGAATGACTCTCTATCTCTTCCAGCTTTTGTGTCTGTAACACCATCTCGATCGTGACGGAAAAGTGTGTTCATCAACGTCACGTGAAGCTTTACTCTTTCATACTGTTTGTTCACCACACCTGTTGAAATCAAACAAATTCATTGCTTAAAGACTCACGAAATCATAATAACATGATTGCAAACAAACCACTATACGAGTGGGGATAGAACCCATGGTGAGTGAGTCATAAAACTTCAGGCCAGTGCTTAAGCCACTGGGCCAGCTGGAAACAATAAGATTCACCCAACTAGGTAGTATATTTATACACCACAGGGTCAGCATGGGCCCCGCTGTGACTGCAAATGCAAGTTTTTACAGATGAATCTCCCACCAATATGGCTGTGATGAACTCTAGTTCAAGTCTCCTCAAAGCCATCATCATGATGACTTTGGATGAATCCTGTTGCAGTCAGCTGACCTAGAGGCTTACTTACTGGCCTAGAGTTTTATGACTCACTCATCATAGGTTTTAACTTCACCTGTACTCACCTAGATGAGGTTGCAGGGGTCAAGTCCAAGCTCCTGGCCCCGCCTCTTCACTGGTCGCTACTAGGTCACTCTCCCTGAACCATGAGCTTTATCATACCTCTGCTTAACCCTTTGACTGTCGCGGCCATATATATACGTCTTACGAGGTACCGTGTTTGACGTATATGTATACTCATAAATTCTAGCGGCTTCAAATCAAGCAGGAGAAAGCTGGTAGGCCAACATGTGAGAGAATGGGTCTGTGTGGTCAGTGTGCACCATATAAAAAAAATCCTGGAGCATGCAGTGCATAATGGGGGGAAAAAAAACTCCGACCGTTTTTTTTAATTAAAATGCCGAATTTGTGGTCTATTTTCGTATGGTATTTATGGTTGTATTCTCGTTTTCTTGGTCTCATTTGATAGAATGGCAAACATATTATAGAAATAGAGGTGATTTTGATTGATTTTACTATAAAAAGAACCTAGAAATGGAGCTCAAAGTAGGGTAAATGTTTGATTTTTGCCAATGTTCAAAAGTAAACAAATTATGCCATTGTCCAATAAATGTCCAACTAGCCATTCTAATATGTAGTCATGAATGGGTTGATGTTATTTATACAATTATTACAGTACTGCAGTAGTCTGCATAATAGTAAGTCTTCAATTTTTTGTTTGAATAAAAATTCAAAATAGAAAGCAAGAGTAATATCAGAGGGGCCTGGAGACATGACTGATGAACAAAGAAAATGTTATTTTAGAGCCAGGAATGTCTGCATTGTTCATTCTGGACCTTATTTTGAAATTGTCATATTTTTTAGTTTTCGTGAAATTGGCCAAATTGCAAATTTCTGACCACATTATTAGGTAGTTGAAATCGGTAAATGGGCAGTTTCTTGTACTCAATCGATAGAAAAAATGGAGTTCTAACGAAATAGCTATGAGTTTGGTCGACTGGAACAATGGAATTAGACGAAAATAGGGCTCAAAGTGGGCGAAATCGCCGATTTGTAAACAGCGCCGAGGTCGCTAACTTCGCGAGAGCGTAATTCCGTCAGTTTTCCATCAAATTTCGTTTTTTTGGTGTCATTACAATCGGGAAAAGATTCTCTATCATTTCATAAGAAAAAATAATTTTTTTTTTTTTTGAAATTCTGCGACATCAGGAGACACCTCAGGATTGGGGGTTGCAACAGTCAAAGGGTTAAAGCTATGTATGGATCCTGCCTCCACTACATCACTTCCCAAATCATTCCACTTTCTGACTACTCTGTGACTGAAGAAATACTTCCTAACATCCCTGTGATTCATCTGTGTCTTCAACTTTCAACTGTGTCCCCTTGTTGCTGTGTCCCATCTCTGGAACATCCTGTCTTTGTCCACCTTGTCAATTCCTCTCAGTATTTTGTATGTCGTTATCATGTCCCCCCTATCTCTCCTGTCCTCCAGTGACGTCAGGTTGATTTCCCTTAACCTCTCCTCGAAGGACATACCTCTTAGCTCTGGGACTAGTCTTGTTGCAAACCTTTGCACTTTCTCTAGTTTCTTTACGTGCTTGGCTAGGTGTGGGTTCCAGACTGGTGGCGCATACTCCAATATGGGCCTAACGTACACGGTGTACAGGGTCCTGAACGATTCCTTATTAAGATGTCGGAATGCTGTTCTGAGGTTTGCTAGGTGCCCATGTGCTGCAGCAGTTATTTGGTTGATGTGCACTTCAGGAGATGTGCCTGGTGTTATACTCACCCCAAGATCTTTTTTCTTGAGTGAGGTTTGTAGTCTCTGGCCCCCTAGACTGTATTCTGTCTGCGGTCTTCTTTGCCCTTCCCCAATCTTCATGACTTTGCACTTGGTGGAGTTGAACTCCAGGAGCCAATTGCTGGACCAGGTCTGCAGCCTGTCCAGATCCCTTTGTAGTTCTACCTGGTCTTCGATTGAATGAATTCTTCTCATCAACTTCACGTCATCTGCAAACAGGGACACTTCGGAGTCTATTCCTTCCGTCATGTCGTTCACAAATACCAGAAACAGCACTGGTCCTAGGACTGACCCCTGTGGGACCCCGCTGGTCACAGGTGCCCACTCTGACACCTCGCCACGTACCATGACTCGCTGCTGTCTTCCTGACAAGTATTCCCTGATCCATTGTAATGCCTTCCCTGTTATCCCTGCTTGGTCCTCCAGCTTTTGCACTAATCTCTTGTGTGGAACTTTATCAAACGCCTTCTTGCAGTCCAAGAAAATGCAATCCACCCACCCCTCTCTCTCTCTTGTCTTACTGCTGTCACCATGTCATAGAACTCCAGTAGGTTTGTGACACAGGATTTCCCATCCCTGAAACCATGTTGGCTGCTGTTGATGAGATCATTCCTTTCTAGGTGTTCCACCACTCTTCTCCTGATAATCTTCTCCATGACTTCGCATTCTATACATGTCAGTGACACTGGTCTGTAGTTTAATGCTTCATGTCTGTCTCCTTTTTTAAAGATTGTGACTACATTTGCTGTCTTCCATGCCTCAGGCAATCTCCCTGTTTCGATAGATGTATTGAACATTGTTGTTAGGGGTACACATAGCGCCTCTGCTCCCTCTCTCAGGACCCATGGAAAGATGTTATCTGGCCCCACTGCCTTTGAGGTATCTAGCTCACTCAGAAGCCTCTTCACTTCTTCCTCGGTTGTGTGTACCGTGTCCAGCACTTGGTGGTGTACCCCACCTCTCCGTCTTTCTGGAGCCCCTTCTGTCTCCTCTGTGAACACTTCTTTGAATCTCTTGTTGAGTTCCTCACATACTTCACGGTCATTTCTTGTTGTCTCTCCTCCTTCCTTCCTTAGCCTGATTACCTGGTCCTTGACTGTTGTTTTCCTCATGTGGCTGTATAACAGCTTCGGGTCAGATTTGGCTTTCGCTGCTATGTTGTTTACATATTGTCGTTGGGCCTCCCTTCTTATCTGTGCATATTCATTTCTGGCTCTACGACTGCTCTCCTTATTCTCCTGGGTCTTTTGCCTTCTGTATTTCTTCCATTCCCTAGCACATTTGGTTTTTGCCTCCCTGCACCTTTGGGTGAACCATGGGCTCATCTTGGCTTTCTCATTATTCCTATTACCCTTGGGTACAAACCTCTCCTCAGCCTCCTTGCACATGGTTGTTACATATTCTATCATCTCATTAACTGGCTTCCCTGCCAGCAAACTAAACAACTGTACCATTATAAGTGAGTGAGTACTCATTGATATTTTCCAAGCTGAATCCACAGGTTGTGACTGCAGGTCAAACACAAGACAGAATTACTACATAGAGTTAGGGAGGTGGTGTCACTGCTTACAGGTTATGAGCTGTAGGTAATCACCTTACAAGAGGCCAGTTAGAAAACAATAAGTAATTTAGCATTTACAGTGGTCCCTCAATTATCATCCTTAATCCGTTCCTGGAAGTGGGACTATTATCGAAATAGACGATTTTTGAATCAATTTTCCCCATAAGAAATAATGTAAATACAATTAATCCATTCCTGACACCCAGAAGTATTAAAACAAAAATTTTTTTTACATGAGATATAGATGTAGTACATAAACAATACAATGGGACATGATGAATGAAACATTAACAGCATAACACTTACCTTTATTGGCGATTCTTCTTAGTGTATGGAAGACTGGAGGAGGAGAGAGATTGAATTACTGTTTGGAAGGGATATCCCCTTCCATCAACACCTCAGGTACCAAGTGCTTTTCTGGGGTTACTTCTCTTCTCTGTTTCTTAATGCCACTAGGACCAGCTTGAGAGTCACTGGAGTCCTGTCTCACAAAAAAAAACTGTCCAGAGAGCTCTGTTTCTGGCGTCTCTTTAAAACTTCCCTAAAATGGACCAAGACTCTGTCACTGTACAAGTTGCCGATATGCCTTGCAACATCCTTCTCAGGGTGATGTTTCTCCACAAATCTTTCCATCCTACCCCACATTTCAAAAATCTCCTTAATTTCTGAAGAAGGCACCTTCTTCCATCTCTCTTCCTCCTCCTCTGCAGCAAGATTCTGAGGTGCAATCTGTTGCTCTTCCTGCTAAAGCTCTTGCAGCTCCTCAGTGGTTAGCTCTTTGTTGTGGTCCTCCACCAACTCTTCCACATCCTCCAAACTCACATCCAACCCCATGGAACTCCCCAGTGCCACAATAGAGTTCACAACTGACATAGGCTCATCAGGGGCCACCTCAAACCCTTCAAAATCCCTCTTGTGGACACAACCTGGCCACAAGTTTCTCCAAGCAGAGTTCAAAGTCCTGGTAGTCACTCCCTCCCAAGCCTTACCTATAAGGCTTATGCAATGGAGAATACTGAAGTGTTCTTTCCAAAAATCTCTTAGGGTCAAGTGAGTGTCCGAGGTCATATTAAAGCACCTTTCAAACATTGCTTTGGTGTAGAGTTTTATAAAGTTTGAAATGACCTGCTGGTCCATGGGCTGGAGGAGAGGAGTGGTATTCGGGGGCAAGAACTTTACTGTGATGAACCCAAACTCCTTCAGAATTAGGTCATCCAAGTTTGGAGGATGAGCAGGTGCATTGTCCATTACTAGCAGGCACTTGAGATCCAATTTCTTTTCCAGGAGGTAATT